GGTCCCTTCCAACCCAGACAATTCTGTGATTCTGTGATGTGTCCTCATCCCCCAGGACCATCCCCATGCCCCTGCACGTCATTTCCCAGTGAGACGGCATTGGAGCACAGGCTTTGCAGGGATTGTGGGTCCCTAAGGAGATGCAGGCTCCAAAAGGCTCTTGTTTCCAGTGAGCTGCCTGTGGTGTTGAGCTGGACGAGTGCAGAGTGAGCAGTCCTTACCTGCTACTTGAAGTCCCCGAGGCTGCACCGCTGCTACAGCCCTTGGCTGCGGGGTTGGGGTCACTCCTGAGCTGAGCTCGTCTCTGCTCTGTCCATGGGTATCCAAGTTCCACCAGCTCTCACCTGCAGTGCGTCCTTTGCAAAGACTGAACAGCTGAAATGATGTCTCCTTCTGTCCCCTTCCCCCTTTTCTGTAATAAAAAATGATGGTTAATAGAACCAGGCAACTCAAAGGTTACTCTTGGGAACAGCCAAGATATTTTTTAATAATTAAACACCCCCCATCACTGTTATTGTCTGAGATGCTAAAACTTAGCCTGGTCAGGTTTGCTTTCAGATCTTAAACACAAGCATTAAGCAATCACATTTTCTAGGCAGCCTGCGGGGTGATGGTATAAATCAAGCACAGACGCTTCTACACTCTAAATGTTTTATTAATGAAATCTGGGTGTTGGGCAGTGTAGCTCCCATTTTGTCAGTTTGATGAACCATTCTGGTTATCTGGCTGCTCTGCAGAATTAACAATTTGGGGTTTTTTTGCTTTATATTCTTTTGATGACTTGTAATTGGGCTGATGTGCCTGTTCATCAGGAGAATTCAATCTGTTCTTCCTTCAAGATCTATTTTTGTTTTTTTACTTCCTATGCAGAATAAAACTTGCTGCAGCATTAGTGAGTATCTAACAGCCAACACATCTTCCCTTTTTTGCTTGGTTGAGCTGTTCATATTTCACATGCTGCAGAAAATAAGGTGGGTTGTTTTTTTTTTCCCAGAGAAATAACTGTTTCCATTTACTGCAGGAATGTGCAGCAAGATGAGTCAGTTGTTATGAACTTGAGTCATGAATGTTGGTAGTTTCATAGTTGGGAAGTCAGAGCAGACGTACTTAATTTTTTGGGGATATTGGTAGACATGAAAACCTAAGATTAGAAACTTGGAAAATCTCTGGTAGTTGTAGGGTTGCACTGTAAATACTGGAAATGCCATAAATGACTGGAAGGAGAGTCCCCTTGCTGTGTTGTTCATGTGTGCTGTGGGCAGCCCTCTCCTGGGAATACGTCCCCATCAGTCAGCTGGATTTTGGAAAGAGAAAAAGAGAATGACACCGTTGATGGTATCGGTGGTATTGCTTTGGACTTGGGTTCATCCCGCCTAGGCCAGGGTTTCAGTCCCTGCAATGAAAGGCTCCTCTGGGAGGTAGATGTGAGATGCCAAATCACCACTGGGCAGATCTCATCACTGCGTGGAAAACTTCTGAGAACTGCTATCTCCCCTGGGACATCCCTGTTCAGTGCCAGCTCTGGCACCCTTGAGTCGTGGCTGAGGATTACAGCTGCTTGTGCTGGATGCTGCATGACAAAGTGGGGCCGTTCCCAATACAGCATTCCAGAGCTTCCCATGAGTGATGGCCCTTGGTCACAGTCTATTGCTGTGCACAAACCTCTGATTTGAGGTCAGTGGGATGTGGTCCCTTGCATCAGGACCAGAGTGTGTGTGTTGGTGTCAGCCTGACGGCACCGTGGGGGTGAGCACCTGACTTAGTCCACTGGTGGACGAATCCCAGTTGCACCCCAAAGCAGCATCCCCCATGCTGCAGGAACTGAGACTAGCAAATGCTGAGTTCATACCTCAGACAGCTTTGTTTTAAATCAATGTCAAATACTTTAGCTCAAGCAGTTTCAGCTCTAGATTATTTAGGTTTGGTGGAAGGAGTCTGCCAGCCTGGCACGGTGCTGCCCCAATCACATATGTAGTCCTGAGTGGGATGTGCCTGGGTACTTTGATTTTACTAACCATGTGCCTTAGCCTTCAGCTTCAGTCCAAGGCTGTCCAGGTCTTTAGGGAGCTTCAGGTTTGCTTTCTTGAGGGACTGCTGGTCTTCTTGATGCTGCAGGAAGGTTGTGTGTTTCCTTTCATGCTGCTGCCTTTATGACCATCCTAACTGGTGCTGTGAGGCACTGGTGTTGCACTGATGCAGCTGTGAACGAGCTGGGTACTTGCTTGCATCCTGAGGAGCAAGAAGCTGGAGCCAAGTGGATGGTGACACATAGGTGTATCTCACCAGTGGACTCCTCTGCCCAGTGGGATGTGCTCACTGGGCATGCTGGCCCTGCACAGTTGCACCTGATGGTCTCACACTGCTGTCTGGGAGTACCCACTGAGCCCTGGGTGGCTGTGGCATGGTGACATTCAGAGCCCTTCCCATCGCCAGGTCGCCGGACTCATGCCCATCTGCTGTGGGTTTTAAGTGTGGTTGGGAATCACTGGAGAGTGACTCATCCTGTGTCGTCCTTGGCTGTGGGAACGACAGGAAGTACACTTCTGCCAGTGTTCATGGCCAAGGGCTTTTCTTTGCTCGGTGATAGTTATCTTGCTTTATGAGAGGCTTATCCTTACTGTGGAGAGGCCAAGATTAAGCTTGCCCAGGGGTAGATTGGCTAAGCAAGAGGCGTTTCCTTGTGGAGCAGTGAATCTGCTCCCTGCACTGGTTGAGCCCAGCAGGAACATGACAGTTGTTACTCCTTTTCATGGGATAAAGCTTAATTGAAGATGATGACACTTCGCTTCTTTGGGATGTCGAAATGTTGATGGATGAGACCTCTGATGGTCTGTAGTCCAAACCCTATTTGGAACAGGACCATACCCAGTCCTAAGTCAGGTCAGCTATGACTTTATCAAAGTAAGCCTTGAAAACCTTAAGGAACATCCCCCACCTGTTTGGATATCTTTTCCAGTGCTGCACCACCTTCCTAGTAAAAAGTTTTTATCCTAATGTCCGCTTTGAACCTCCTAAACTCTAACTCATGGCTGTCACCTGTTGTTACACCATCCACTGCTTTAGATGAGGAAAATGCTACATCACAGGGTGTTAATTGCTATTGTGATTCTTATGTTCCCTTGGGCTTCTTTCTCCTGTTCAGGCTTGCATCAGATCTCGCAGAACAAGGTGGCAGTGTTGCTTCTGGCTGGAGGACAAGGAACTCGCTTGGGAGTGAGCTATCCCAAGGGCATGTACAACGTGGGATTGCCCAGTGGCAAGACCTTGTATCAGATCCAAGCAGAAAGAATCCGCAAAGTGGAGCAGCTTGCTGGCCAGAGATACCACTGCAACTGTGCCATCCCCTGGTAGGTGACCTGGAGCCACAGACCGACTGTACAGGGGTCTTTGTGTTGCAGTCTTGCCTACGTAGTCTTCTAGAAGCACTTTGCTGTGTGCCGTAGAGTCACGTCGGGGAGAGCCTTTTGTCAGCAGGATTTGTGATGCCAGCAGCTGGAGGATGCACAGGGATGGGAAGTGGCAGGTCCATGTCTGCAGACCTGAGGGACCAAGCACTGCCCTTGGATCACTGACCCCAACTGCTATATCCTGCTGTCATTTTAAGCACAGTCCATGACAACACTATAAACAGCACTTTCCAGTGCCTGTTTCAGATATTTTGCAAGCGATTTCATCCGTTTGTGCCGTGCTTTCTCAGGTTCCTGTGTGGAGGGAGAGATTGGCCAGAGCTCACCTTGCAAGACTGTCTGCCTTCCCTTACCTGCAGTTTCTGCCACAGCAAAACAACTCTTCCCCCTCACAGTAGCAAATGCTTGTTGTGCTCCTTTTTCAGGGCACCTCCTGCTGTCATTTACAGCTGGCTGCCATCCCTCCTGACTGCTCCTAGCTTCAAAAGGCTTCGAAAGAGACTAGCTCTGTGCAAGGTGCAAAATATGAGTTCCCTATGGGATGTGGTTGGTGAGGGGGGAAGGCACCACAGCATGCTTCTGGGAAGGTTTTCTGCTAAGTGTTCTTCTTTAGACTGTGAAGAGATACCTTTATGAAATCACTGTCTGGTCTGAGCCTGGTTACACGAGCAGGTGTCTGATGTCTTTAGGGTAGCACATTGTTTTACAAATTGATGATTGAAGGTGATTGAGTCCTTATTGGGTTTCTTTCTGAAACCATGCATGACCTGAATTACAAATGCACCATCCCTGATGCTGCTGGAAGCCAGGATGGGTCATCTACAGGATGCAACATCTTCTGATAATGTTTACATTTATCTTCCCCCTGCCCAGCTCGGGGACAGTTGGCTGCTGCAGTACACCAGGGACCAGGCTGTGCTGCAGACATTTAAATGGGGGTTGGGGGGTGAGGTCCAGGCTCTCCTGTGCAAGGGATTGATTCCACTGATTCCCCTGGTATTCCAGCAGAGGAATTCTCTATACCTATGTCAGTAATTGTTGAAAAAGTGCTTGACAGGTAGGTGATGAAGGTGGCTCTTGGGCACTGTTGAAGAAGGAGGACAGCTGCAGTGTGGAGCTGGAAGGAGGAAGTAGAGAAACAAGAGAAAAACAAATCATGCAGCCAACATTTGAAAATGCTGTTGTTCGCCTTGGCACAGAAGTGATGTTGGTGGACTGAGCTGCTGGGGATTCACAGCTCATTCTCAGCACCTCGTGCTTCTGTAGACGCTTAATGCCAGTTTGAATCTAGAGTGAATGAGGCTGTTGTACTGACAAATATGTTGCCTTGTTTTCCAGCTCATCTGGATATCCAGATGTCATTCACGTTCAGGGAAAGGCTCTTCTGTCCTGGCTGGAGCTAAGCCTGTGTGTAGGATCATGCCCAACACCCTGTGCAGCCTTCCTGTGGGATATGTTCTGGAGGATAGCTGTCCTGCTCAGCTGCATACTGCAGGATACTCCATTAACACTCCCAGCTTTCCTCCCTTTTGTGTTCCATTTGTAGTTTTGTCTTTTGCTTGTGCTTTTCTTGCTCATTGCTCTGCACCCACTCCTACCCAGGTACATCATGACGAGTGAGTTCACGCTGGGGCCGACAGAGGATTTCTTTGTAGAACATGGCTACTTCAACCTGGATAGATCCAGAGTGGTTATGTTTGAACAGAGGATGCTGCCCGCTGTCACTTTTGATGGGAAGGCCATCTTGGAGGAGAAGGGGAAAATTGCTATGGCTCCAGGTACTCGCTCTTCACTCTCACATGGTAATGGGTTTTGATAAATGCTACTAGCCATCAGCCAGCCTTGGCACACAGGGCAGTCTCTGGAGGTCAGTATTAATGCTTCTGGTGAGCGTGGGAGGGTTCAGTTAGGTGTTTCAGGCTGGTACTGGAGAGTGTCGCAATCTCTGTTTACTTCCTGCTGGAGATTTGACTACAGCACATGGTTTTTATCAAAGCCTGGGGGGATTGACAGGATTAGGAGTGGTGCAGCTGCAGGTTAGGAGCAATCTGCATCTGCAGGGCTGTGCTTGAGGTCCCTGGGAGCTGCCTCCCAGGGGTGAAGCTGCTGGGAGCCGACCTCCCATTGAAGGCTGATAGCTGGAAATGG